GTTATACTCATTCCATCGAGCTTGCCATTGATTAAAAAGACTCTCTCGTGCTTGATTTCTGAAATCTTTTCCTTTGTCATATATTTCCATTCTTTCCTGTATAATCAAATCGATCGGTGGTTGACCCGTTATTGCCAAAATTGCCTTTGTTCCCGTCGTTCTGTAAGCTCCTGCAACTCCCAGCGCCAATTTTCGATTTATTGCTTCTAACATATTCGCGTATTTTTTATATTTTAATGCCGACTTCCATATTGGCGCGCCATAGGCGACTACCGAGATAACTGCCGTTCGTAATAGTTTTCTGTTCTTTTTTCGTGGAGTTAGGGATTCCTGGTTTATTGTTAGCCGAACTTAGGTAGAATCTATTTTTAGACTAACGCAACCCAAAGAAATCGCCCTTCGGTCAACTACCTTGCCGAGATTTTTGAAGTGACTTGGAATTCAATTCATAAGGTTTATATTATCCTCTAATGTCTCCGACAATTAATTTGAAACTCGCGTTTTTAAAAACACTTTATTTCAGAATTAATACAATATTTTTATAATGTGGATTTGAAATGTGTGTGACCGAACCTAACCGTAGACTGACTATCTTTAGCTTATAGTAAACGGATCTAACCATAGGCTGTCTTTGACTGTCTTTAACTTAACTATCGTTTCTGCCGTGGCTACTTTTATAGTTGGATCATGCTGATCAAAGCAGGAACGATGCTACGTCTTATTTTAAACGTTTAGTCGGCGTAAGTGGCCATATAATTGTACCATATCCCTAACATAAACAAACCGCCACACGATCGAGCGCTCTAACTAAAATATATAGTGATAATAATGCTGTCAGCCAGCTGTACACTGGGTTTCAAGCTTTGGAACGGCTACAGATACTTTGACAAATCCTGCACAAAGGAATTATTTATTAGGTCTGTCAAAACATCCAGAGCTGAAAGTGGGAGGGTCAAGAACATTCTTATTGATAGGTTATCCGTGCTACATGAAGATTTACTCTTTATGCTGTGCATCACCTGTAGCAGCTCAACACGATCTACAGGACTTAGGAAGAAACTATCAGCGATTTTCTTTGAAGGAGGAAGAAACTAAAGAGGGTCGAAGGCCGGCAAGTAACACTTTTGCTAATGTTGATGAAAAATTCGTTTAACTCATTTGGACTTGGCACATCCGAGTCAAAGAGCCTTCTCCTCCCTCTTAGCTCATTAACAATGGACCAGGTTTCCCTAGAAACATTCTTGGCACTTGTCAAACGATTTTGATAATACAGTTTCTTTGCTGACTTGATTACCTTTAGATAGATTTTTCTATAATTTGAAATGAATTCGAGAAATTGAGTGGAGTCAGTAAACTTTTTTATATGCAAGAGCGAGCGCATATTTTTTGCAGAGGTGCGTAAACCTTTCGTAATTGGATTACGTTAATGTTTATGGCGTTTAGGTTTAATGGACCGAAGCGGAAAGGCCTCATTGAAAGCACTTATCATTTTACTTAAGAAGTCTCCAAAGCGAAAATTTAGATCCCCGGATTCAAAGCTCCAAATCGTGGCCTGACAAAGGTTACAAAATAATGCGAAATTTGACGATGAGACGATTCTACCCAAGCAGCGAGCTCTCCTCGGGGGTTTGAGGGAAATATTGAACTCGGTAATCACCGCTTCATGATCAGAAAGACCCGCGTTAGAACGAGATGCTAAATGCCACTGGCGGCTCCTCGTACTGCGCAGTCGCGTAAATAGTCAGCTGGTTGAGGATTTAAAATTTAATCTCATTCACAGAAGCATCAGTAGATTTTTCTAGAAATTATTCTTTCTATT